TGCTGGCCTGCCACGCGCTGGGGCGAGTCCTTTCCCCTCTCTGAACCGCCACTTCCTCGTCTGTCAAATGAGTGGGGGTGCAGTGGCTAGGCCGGAATCCTGCCAGCTCCCAGGGTGGGGAAGGCCTCCAGCCCAGGCCCGTTCCCCCCGACCCCCTGGGGCAGGCTTGTGGGTCTAGGTGGGCTTCCCTCCTCGCTGTGCCCCCCGTACATTCTGGGGCTTTCGTCCCTCTCCTTCCTGCCCACCGGGCAGCCTTTCCCCAGAAGCTGCGCTCGCGCCACTGCTCCACTTCTCAGGCAGGGGAGGGGCCGCAGGCTCTCATTCTGGTTTCCCGGGTCTGGGGGAGCAGTAGGGGAGCTGCATGGGGGTGCCCACACCCCTCTGCGATGCCCACCCAGCTGGCAGGTGTTTGCAGAGGTTCCTCAGCACCTCCTGGTTCTAGCAGGGAGGTGTGGGAGCGGAGCCGACAGCCACGGAGGGTCAGGGAGCGGCGTCTACACCGAGGCCTGAGGGAGGAGGATTAGCCGGCCTGGCCAGGCAGGAGTCAGGGGTGTGCTGTGCCCAGAGGCAGCTCAAGTGGCGTGGTGGCTTCAGGAACCAGTGGCATGTAGGGTTCCAGGGGGGCAAGGCGAGAGCTGGTTGTGGGCCACTCCCCACCCTGCTCCCCTCCCTGGGGCCACGAGGTGGGCGGTGAGGGGGCTGGTGTTGATGGCCCGGAGGTAGAGACTGTGCGGCTGTCACAGCTTGCTGTGGGGGTGGGGGACATCTCAGCATCGCAGGCTGATAGCAGTCAGTCTACCCAGGAGGCACGGCGGGAACAGGGGAGTGAGGAAGGGGCCAGGAGAGCGGACTGAAGCTAGCCTGTGTGCCTAGGGCAGTCAGAGCCTTGGCAGCTTTCAAACTGGACGCACTCAGGAGGGGTACTTTGCCCAAGTTCCCATGTAAGGGCCACTATTATGATGAGGAAATTGAAGCTCAGAGAGGGCAAGCAGCTTGCTCAAAATCACACAGCCTGGAAGTGGCAGAGGCAGGACTTAAACCCAGGCTCCTCTGTCCTGGAAGGTGGCAGGAGCCAACCACTGATAAGAGTGAATGCCAAGAATAATGCCCCAGGCCCCCTCGACTAAGGAGGGTCCTGGATACCTCCAGCCGGAGCCATCCCACCGCTCCCCTTCCCCACCCCCGTGGCCAGGCTAGGATCCTGCCGTCAGTCACAGAGCCAGCAGGTCATAAGTCACACCGTGCAGGAGTCTGAGGGATCCACGCGAAGACGACAAGCAGTCCCGTAAAAGATGGGCGATTTACCAGGCTTAATTTGATGGCCACATAAACTACCGAACACACAACGAGGGAATAAAAAGGCAGCCAGGCACCCAGGCAATTAAAGGGCCCCTCCAGCGAGGCATGCTGTCCTCCTCCCCACCTCAGTTCCCGCCCGCGTTCCTCAGGTGGCCTTGGGGAAGGGGCAGCCGGGACCTCTGGCCGAGATGGATGAGGCCCGCAGGAAAGGCCTTGGGTCCCTGCCTCCCAAACGCTTCTTGGTTATCCATCAAGCATCTCTGAAAGGTGCAATTTAGACTCTATTATGATGCTAGGGGCCTCTGGAGGCTAAAGACTGTGGCCGTGAGCTGAGCGGATGCCGGGAACAGATGTCCACGCCAGGGAATGCGGTGGCTGGCCTTGGCTTCGGCCTTAACAAGGCTGCCCCCTGCTCAGGGCACTGCCCCGGAACGGCTGAGCACAGAGGCCGCCCGTGTCCCTTATGCCAGGTCTGAGCAGCTGACAGACCAGGGAGGGTGTGTGTCCTCTGGCCAGCTGCGGGGGGCCTGAGCAGGGGTGCGCCTGGGCTCAGACTGGACCCCAGAGACGGGCAAGGTGGTCTTTGGACAGACCTGTGCCTCCCTGTCGCCAGCACCCGCCCCGCCTTTCTGCTTATGAGCAGTGTGAGACGGGACCTCCAGGCTCCATAACTTCATGGTCTTGGTTCTGTGCAGAAGGGACAGATGTGCAGCTGGAAAGCTGGGCTGGCTGTGACTCTAGACGAGCCCCTCACCTCTCTGAGCCTCAAGGGCTCAGCTGCGAAGTGGGGACCGAGGACCTGTGTGTGTGTGGCAGCTGGCCCCAGGTTGACGCCACAGTCCTCTGCACGATGCCTGTGGAGGGCAGTGGGCAAGGCCCGGCCGGAGAGTTCAGCCAGCGCTTGGGTTTAGCCCCACCCTCTGAAGGCATCCACTCTGCTCACAGCCCCGGGCAAGGCAGGCAGGAGGCTCGTGGGACACGGGGCACCTCAGCCGGGTCTGAGAACCCTCAGCCCCGGTCCCAGGTGGGCTGGGGACTCACAGTGGTCAAGCACCGAGGTCCCGCAGCTGGACAGCCGTGGGGCAAATCCAGACTCCACCACCTCCCACCAGGGGACCTCTCTGTGCCTCAGTTTCCTCATCCACAAAATGGGTCAATAACATTTTCTCCTTTGAAATAGTTAGCTAACATCTGCTATGTATCAACCACTGGGCTGGGCCCCGAGGGGACACACCAATGAGTAAGACACACAAACCTCCCCCCGCCCTTATAGAGCTTCTAGTGGGGACACAGACAGTGAGAACAAAGTAAAATATATGGCCCATTAGTTGGTGGTAGATACTACAGGTAAGCAGGGAGTGGCAGGGAGGCATTTTCTGGGGGTTGTAATTTCTGACGGGGTGGCCAGGGAAGGCCTCACCTGGAGGAGGGGAGGGGTGAGCAAGTGCCTCTGGGGGTGAGTGTTGGGGACAGAGGGATCGGCATGTGCAAGGGCCCGGGGACGCCAGGGTGGGGTGGTACCTGGCTGCTGCGGTCAGTGGAGGGCTGTGGGTGGGGGGCTGACGTGAGGATTTTGCCAGGGGACTGCGAGGGGAGGGGCTGGAGAGCAGGGTGCAGGGGAGGGGGGCAGGGCCTCAGGTAGGAGTCACCAAGAAAACAAAGACGCAGCCGAGGGAGACAGCTGGGAGCGAAGGCCAACCCCACATCCCATCCCAAGGGGCTGAGGGCTGAGGGTCAGTGGTGTCACGGCCACTAGCCTGGGTGGGGCTGAGCTCTCCAAGCAATTGAGGCAGGTGCCCTCAGCCCCCAGGCCAGTCAGTGCTGGGGTGAGGGGCTCAAGCTGGCTCCCCTGTCTCCGCTTTCCTCCCTCCTGCTCTGTGGGCAGGCCCCGGCACCTTCCCCCTCAGTCTTACGTGTGTCCAGCTGGGGTGTCCTTGGCCGGCCCCCGACCTGCCCTGGATCCACCTCGTGGACAGAGCTTCATGCTGCCAGCAGGCCCTGAGTGGAGTGGGCAATGCGGGAGCTCTAGAAGGCCCTGGGGCCGCTGGGCTGACTGAGGGAAGGCCCCTAAGTGCACAGGAGTGTGAGCATGCAGGGTGACAACAGAGGTGTTCACTGAGGTGGGGCTGTCCTGTCCTTGGGCAGTCTCTGATGCCACTCCCCACAGGCCCACACAGGCCCAGCCCCCGCCCACATGGTCTAGCCACCAGGCAGCCCACAGAGCGCCACAAATCTAGTGGTGACCAAGATTCTGGCCTGTGATGGCCAGGCACACATAGTAGATGCTCAGTGAAGATCTGCTGGATGGATGGACGGATGGATGCATGGCTGGGTGGACAGAAAGAGCAGAGGGAAGCTCTATCAGGTGCATAAGGAAGACCTGCAGCGGGGGTGACATTTGAGCTGAGTCCTGAAGGGTGAGGAGCACTTTGCTTCCTGAGAGGAGCAGCCCGGGGACAGAGGGACGAGAAGAGAGAGGTTTGGCCTGGCTGGGTCCCTGTGGCACAGAAGCGAGGTCCCCAACCCACTGAGCAGGTGCCGGCTCTGCTCCACACACCAGGGCTGCCCTCCAGGCCAGGGCTCAGGCTCCAAGAGGCCACCGTGTCCCACCATCGAGAAGCCTTCATGAATCCAGAGTTTACAGCAGATGTCTGCCGGCCGCATGAAGACACCTTTCCCACTGAGGTTGAAAGATAATTTCTCTTTAATTGATTTTTTACCACTATGAAGAGTAAAATAATATAAGAAAAAATCCATGCTGCAATTTTTCCATTTGTGAAAACCGAAATTACACCTTGCAGACAATTCCCTCAGAGCGTGAACACCTCCCGCCTTTTCTTTGTCTCATTTCTTTAGATGCAAGAAAACAGATGTTTTTTTTTTCCTATGATAGTTGAAAAAGTTTATGACTTCAGAAGGGGGCAAGGTGTGGGACAATTTCCTGCAGAACACAGAGCTCGGGAGGCTGCTCTGATAAAAAGAGGTTTCTGTAAATACACGAGAAAGCGATTCTGTCGACACCTTACTCTTCTGTCTGTAAAATGTACGAGTGACAAACAGGACGTGTTGTTTTAACACCAGACAATGAAGCTCGGTGCTCTCCGCTGCTCACCAGCGACGGCGCTGGCAGCTTCTTTCTTGCTGCTTCTGGTGAGGCCCCGTTCTGAGCTCGCAGGCCTCCCAGAAACAAGCTTTCCCTTCGAGCCCTGGGTCCGAGCCAGATAGCGGGGCACGCTCCCCGCGCCAGTGGGCAGCGGTGGCTCTGAATCCATAAAACACGCCCTAAATCCATCCCATCAACATTGACCGGCACGGTTAGCATTGGCCATAAAGACCGGCTTAGTGTGAAATCTTGAGAGAAGAAAGCAAAACTGCAGCGTGTCTGTCACTAAATTAACCCCTGACCCCAGGGCCCCCGTTACACTCCAGGAGGGCAGAGGCAGCATCCGTCTCATTAACAGGCAGTGTCTGTTAAAGAGGTTTAATGGTCGCCAGATGTCATTAGAGTCAGACCCTAGCTGGAGAGATCACCTGTGGCATAAATTTGGCACGAAAAGGGCCATGCCTCCCGGCTCGACCTCGGCCCGCAGGACCCAGCTGCGGTCGGTTCCCCCAGGCAGCAGCTGGCGGGTGCACACCTGCTCCTTGTGCCACTGGCTGTCCCACTCTCACTGCACCTGTCTTGTGCTCCTTGCAGGTGTTGAGGCTGCAGGTCAGGTGGGGCCGGGCACCCCCAGTCATCCACCATGGTGGTGGCACACCCCACTGCCACTGCCACCACCACGTCCACTGCCACCGTCACGGCCACCGTTGTGATGACCACGGCCACCATGGACCTGCGGGACTGGCTGTTCCTCTGCTACGGGCTCATCGCCTTTCTGACGGAGGTCATCGACAGCACCACCTGCCCCTCCGTGTGCCGCTGCGACAACGGCTTCATCTACTGCAACGACCGGGGGCTCACCTCCATCCCTGCTGACATCCCCGACGATGCCACCACCCTCTACCTGCAGAACAACCAGATCAACAATGCCGGCATCCCCCAGGATCTCAAGACCAAGGTCAACGTGCAGGTCATCTACCTGTACGAGAACGACCTGGATGAGTTCCCCATCAACCTGCCCCGTTCCCTGCGGGAGCTGCACCTGCAGGACAACAACGTGCGCACCATCGCCAGGGACTCGCTGGCCCGCATCCCGCTGCTGGAGAAGCTGCACCTGGATGACAACTCCGTGTCCACCGTCAGCATCGAGGAGGACGCCTTCGCCGACAGCAAGCAGCTCAAGCTGCTCTTCCTGAGCCGGAACCACCTGAGCAGCATCCCCTCGGGGCTGCCCCACACACTGGAGGAGCTACGGCTGGACGACAACCGCATCTCCACCATCCCGCTGCATGCCTTCAAGGGCCTCAACAGCCTGCGGCGCCTGGTGCTGGACGGCAACCTGCTGGCCAACCAGCGCATCGCGGATGACACCTTCAGCCGCCTGCAGAACCTCACGGAGCTCTCCCTGGTGCGCAACTCGCTGGCTGCCCCTCCCCTCAACCTGCCCAGCGCCCACCTGCAGAAGCTCTACCTGCAGGACAATGCCATCAGCCACATCCCCTACAACACGCTGGCCAAGATGCGCGAGCTGGAACGGCTGGACCTGTCCAACAACAACCTAACCACACTGCCCCGCGGCCTGTTCGACGACCTGGGGAACCTGGCCCAGCTGCTGCTCAGGAACAACCCCTGGTTCTGTGGCTGTAACCTCATGTGGCTGCGGGACTGGGTGAAGGCACGGGCGGCCGTGGTCAACGTGCGGGGTCTCATGTGCCAGGGCCCCGAGAAGGTGCGGGGCATGGCCATCAAGGACATCACCAGCGAGATGGACGAGTGCTTCGAGACGGGGTCACAGGGTGGCGCGGCCAATGCAGCCGCCAAGACCACAGCAAGCAACCACGCCTCCGCCACCACGCCCCAGGGCTCGCTGTTCACCCTCAAAGCCAAGAGGCCAGGGCTGCGCCTCCCCGACTCCAACATTGACTACCCCATGGCCACAGGTGACGGCGCAAAGACGCTGGTCATCCACGTGAAGCCCCTAACGGCAGACTCCATCCGCATCACGTGGAAGGCCTCGCTCCCCGCCTCCTCCTTCCGGCTTAGCTGGCTGCGCCTGGGCCACAGCCCGGCCGTGGGCTCCATCACAGAGACCCTGGTGCAGGGGGACAAGACGGAGTACCTGCTGACGGCCCTGGAGCCCAAGTCCACCTATGTCATCTGCATGGTCACCATGGAGACCGGCAACACCTACGTGGCCGACGAGACACCCGTGTGCGCCAAGGCAGAGACGGCCGACAGCTACGGCCCCACCACCATGCTCAACCAGGAGCAGAACGCCGGCCCCATGGTGGGCCTGCCCCTGGCGGGCATCATTGGTGGCGCTGTGGCTCTCGTCTTTCTCTTCCTGGTCCTGGGGGCCATCTGCTGGTACGTGCACCAGGCTGGCGAGCTGCTGACCGGGGAGAGGGCCTACAACCGGGGCAGCAGGAAAAAGGACGACTATATGGAGTCGGGAACCAAGAAGGATAACTCCATCCTGGAAATCCGCGGCCCTGGGCTGCAGATGCTGCCCATCAACCCGTACCGCGCCAAAGAGGAGTACGTCGTCCACACCATCTTCCCCTCCAACGGCAGCAGCCTCTGCAAGGGCACGCACACCATCGGCTACGGCACCACGCGGGGCTACCGGGATGGCGGCATCCCCGACATAGACTACTCCTACACGTGATGCCGCCGGGCCCCACCCCAGCCCCACCCCAGCCCCCGGCCGTCCTGGCGCGGCCATGCGGCTTTGCCCAGCCTGCTGCAACCACAGAGAGCAAAGAAAAGAAATTCCACCGATGACCTTCCCGGCAGAAAGCGAAATTCGGGGAGGGTTGACGATTTTGTAGAACACAACAGTGGAAAAAAAATTTTTTTTTTAAAGAATAGAAGGCAGGAAGGAGGGTAGATTCGACGTTGTTGAAGACATAATTTATCCCCGGTGATGCCAGCTGGGGAGGGAAGGACTAAAAATAATATCGCAGGAAGGGTTTTTTTTTTTTTTCCTGAACTGGAAAGATACTACCTGTACAACGTCTGTGTACACCTCATGCTCTGTTCAGGGCCGTCACAAAGGAACCGTCAGGGAGAAGCCGCCGACACGCGAAGCCCCCGCGCAGCCCTCCCGCCGCCGCTGCTCGCTGGCTCCGCGATGGAGGGTTTTCAGGCTCCTCACAAAGGAGAAGGGAAGAAAAGATCTTTTGCTATGGAGATATTGTCCTGAAATCTCTTCCCTGGTTTGTTCCGTACCATTTCCCTTACAGATTTGCAGAAACATGGCGTCTTTCACTGCGTTCTTTGAACAATCATGTAGTCAATTAAAAAAACAAAACAAAAAAAAACAAAACTCCTTTTTCTCCCTATGCTGAAACCCTCCTCGGTTCCGGGCAACATACTCTGTAGGAGCCACGATGGAAGCTGTAGCCTTCCCCGCCACCTGGAGGTGCATCTGTCTGCCTGTCTCTCTCTGGGTGGCGTCTCTAAGTACAGCCGGGTAGACAGAGCCGACACTCGGTCCTTACTATACTTCTTGGGTCAGTTCTTTCCATTTCCTGAGACAATAGAATTGCAAAAACATTGCTTTCTCCTGGAAATCATTGCGTAAGTAGACAAGGTGCTGGGCATGGGAGTGAGGTGGAGGGTGGAGACCCAGTCTCCGGGGGACATTGCTGTTCCTAAAGGCTGAGGCATGTGGGTCCCAGACGGTGGCTTAGGGAGGGGCAGGGCAAGGGGCACCTTCAGTTCTGTCCTATCTTGGCTTGACCAGAAAAGCTTTCTTTAATTGCCAGCATCCCGGTCCCTCTCCCCACTCTGCCCCTACAGACGCAGTCACCTTAACAGCTACTGTCTGAGCACTTACTTTGTTCTATGTGCTTCCTCTTGGGACACGTAATTAGTGCAGAAATGGGTTTTCTTCTTCAATATCAGCTGATTAAACCTATTGGTTTCCATGGCTGCTCAAACAAAGCCCCAAAAAAGACACAAAAATTATCCGAAAAGCCCTGGGTGACAGCAACCCCTCCCCGTGCCTACCCCTGGGACTCTGCATTTGAGAGGGAGGGACCAGATCTCCTAAAAATGCCGGCCTCTGGAAGGGCACTGACCTGGCCCTCAGAGAGTTAAGATTTCATTTCCCCGCTCTGGAATCAATGTCGCTATCATTTATCAACGGGCAGTACAGTGTTGTGGGCCACGAGATTAAAACGATGATGAAATAATAGCCGCGAATCTGGAAAGGGGAGAGGAGCGGAGCCTGGGGTTCTGACGGTGCCCGCGTCCCAGTACTCGGGGAGCTCGGGTCACTGTCTGTCAACGCGCCGCGTGTCCTGCGCCGGGGAGAAGCGCCGTCGGAGAGGAGCTGCTGGTCTGAGGGCAGGAGGATGAGAGGGCCCGTCCCTGGCGGTGGTGTTTTCAAAAGGCCTCCGCCGCTTGGACCAAAGCAGAGGCAGAAGAGGAGGCTGGGCCGTGGTGACATGAAAGGGTCCGGCCGGCCCCGTTAGCGAGGAGGTGGGGCTGGACGAGCAGATGCAGCAGGGAACTGGAAAGAGACAAGGCTGCAGCACAGCCCACGGCCTGTCCCACCCAACGGCGTCCTGCTCTCCAGCCCCACGGAGCCGCCAAGGGGTGTGGACACGTTTCATTCCAAACTAGACCTTTTTTTCCTTTCTCTGCCTGAATCATTTTCTCATACAATGAGGTCAAAGAGAGAAAATTTCCCAAGCCTTAATTTCAGGTCCTCACTGTGGGCCGCAGCCCCCCAGACAGCCGGTTCCTAGCAGTTGAGGAAGGAACAGAGGGACCCTCCTGGGTGGCTGGGAAGAGCTAGCTACCCAAATTCCTGGCATGCACAGCTGCACAGTGCTGCCAGCAAGTTCCGTCCGCGCCTCACCCAGGTCCCCCTCTCTCCTTTCCCCACCCCAGGCAGGAGGTCAGATCATGCCCTTGGTCGCTAAGAAGACATTTGGGGATAGCAGGTGGCCCAGACTCTGAGAGCCGCCGGGGAAGGCCTGGCGTGGGCGGGGCAGGTGCGCAGAGGACCTAGTGCAGGAAGGCAGAGCAGAGCTGAGAGGCTGCCCGAGCCCAGCCACACTCTCCAAGGCCAGGCCTGGGTGATGAATGTTCCTCCGCCACCGCACAGAGCAGGCCAGGCCCGCAGGAGCCTGCCAGCCGCCCAGAGGATCATGCCGGGCCTGAGGACCACATTGGTCTCCTGCTCCCGGTTCTGGCACTAATGGGGTTCAGCTCATCTCACTGGAGAGCCGAGGCCATTCCCTGTTCCGTGGAGCTCTAGGTGCCCACAAAGGTGGATGCTCCACCCAGCCAGGGCCTTGGGGCCCAGGTCTGAGATCGGCTTTCTCACCTTTCCAGCCCTTTGCATCCCAACGCTTTCCCAGGGGCCTTTCTGAGAGTAAGCCCCCAAATGTCCACTGCGTCACAGACCCCCACGCCAGGGAGCGGGGCCTAAAGCCAGCTTCCCCCTGGTCCAGTTCCTCCCAGCTGGCCCCGTAACACAAGATGGAAGATGTTCCAGGGCACCCGGCCTCCCGCCCCTTAGATGTGTGTGAGGACACGGGGCCTAGGATGGCACCCGGCGCCTGTCTAAAATCTCCCTCCTGGGCAAGGCTGACACGTCTAAGGGAAAGTTCGCTGCTAAGCTGACCCTCACAGCCTCTCACCAGCCAGAACAACCTCAGTGGCCTCAGTGTCGATGAGTGTATTTTGTGGCATTCAAGGCAGGTTTAAAGTTGAAAAAAAAAAAGGCCCACGACACTTTGGGTAAGTGGTTTACCTTTCATGGTAATTAGATGTAGTGATTGGAATCTCTTTTCTATTACATGGCAATTTTCCTTTAAATTTCCCCTTACAAAAAAAAAAAAAGAAGGAAAAGGCGAGGAAGGAGAGAAGATGGCAGGGCGGCGAGTCATTTGCATTTTGCGAATGAGGCCTCTTGTAAGCTCAGCTCAGGCATGGGGCCCAACGTATGGAATGCTTAAGAGATTACTAAGAATAAAATCTATTAATTAGTCATACTCAATTCTGCAGACATGATGTGCATCAAAAGCTTCCTTTCTTCCCTTTCTCCTTCCCCTTCCCGCGGCCTCCCGCAGAAGCTTCATCTCCTCTAAACGGGCTCGGGTTTCCTGGACCACCTCCACCTTAGCACGGTGCTCACGGGAGGGGCCTCCGCCACCCAGGGCCAGGCTGCCAGGTCTGGAGGCAGGAACTGGGACACCACTGGCTCCTTCCCTGCTCAGGGTGACGCTGGCAGGGGAGGGGACAGCCCCTGGGAAGATGGCAGCAGCCGGGAGGGGCCCAACCTTCCTCTCCCTCACTCTCCCTCACGTAGGTACTGGGGCTGTCCTCCTTCCCCCGGGGGTGCAGGAAGGGCTCCCGCACAGATGGGCAGAGAGCTGAGGAGGGGGTCGGGAGGTGTTTCCAGAGAGGCGCAGGGAAAGTGTGTCTGTGAGTGCACAGCCTCTGTTTCCCCTTCCGTAAAGCGGCAGTGCTCTGGGGCAGGGGCTAGAGTCACTCAGGAAAGCTGTGTGCTCCGGAGGCCCGGTCGGGCCCCTCCCTTCTGCTGATTCTGGAAGGTTCCAGTTGGTCCAAGGCAGGCGAGGGACCCCTGCAAGGGCTGAGGGGCTGGCCCAGAAGCCAGATGGAGGAAAGGAGGGGAAGGAGCAAAAGTCAGAGGCACATTCAGGACAGCCCCCTCCAGCGGCAGCTCAAGCCCCAAAGCCAACCCGCTCCAGATATCTGCCTTCTGTCACACGTGCCAGAGAGGAGGACAGGGCTTCTGAGCCTCGTGCTCATGTGAAATACAATAAGGAAAAGTGGATGCAGCAGACAGGGAATGTGGGGCCGGGGAGGCAACGGGCAGAGCCCGGCGGTCCTGGCGGTGGGAAGGGGCGCGGTGGCCTGTGTCCCCAGGGGCCAGCCATGCTCTCAGCCAGCCCACGACCACCAGAGTTGCTGTGGGCGTCCACACGCCCTCGTGTCCTCACACTTGATCGGCACAGGTGACGATGGCACCGCCTGCCCCCTGGACGGGTGCCAGGGTGCGCGCTCACGAGCAACTCACAGCCCGTGTGCACGGGCCTTCCTGAATGCAGAGAAGGGGCATTTTTTTTTTCCCTAAGGAGGGATGAAAAGGCTCCAAAATGCAAATCATTATCGTTTACAACCAAGCGAGTCTGCTAAATTGATTAGGAGAGATTAAACTCGTTGGAGGTGAGGGAAAGAGGGATTTTTCATGGTTTATGAACCTGCCCCAAGTGGCCATCCACACAGCAGGGACTTTCTGGGCCTGACCGGGTGGGGGAATGAGGTGGGGGTGCCTGCCCTGCTCAGCTCCCTGAGGAAAAGCAGGTCTGGCTCCAGCCAAGGCCCTCACGTTCATGCCTTCCTTAGAGAGAAGGGCTCTGGAGCCGTGGGCTTTTCCACTTCCTCTCTGTTCTGGGTGGGTCTGTGTCCAGTCCACTCTCTGCAGCCAGTGACAGGGGAGTGGGTCCCACTGTAAAGGGAAAACTGAAGGTCAGGGAAGAGAAACTGGGCCAGCGAAGGAAACAGGCGGTGAGCTCTCTGTTACCAGGAGCATTCAAGCACTAGATGGGGATGCGGCAGATGTTTTCCTGCCAAGGTCTGTTTCTGTAACCAGAAGACCCTGGTTCGCACCTTTGCTTTATCACCCTGAGGACGCTGTAAGGAAGCAGATATCAAGAGATGTGCACTGTGTTGCCCAAAATGACCAGTGTCCCCTGAAAATCCCAAGTCAGATTGTCCTGCAGTCATGCCATCCAGCCCCATCAAAGAGCCACTTGTGCCAGGTGCCATGGCTCGCACCTGTAGTCCCAGCTACTTGGGAGGCCGAGGCAGGAGGACCGCTAGAGCTCAGGATTTTGAGGGTGCAGTAAGCTGTAATCACACCACTGCACTCCAGCCTGGGTGACAGAGGGAAACCGTGTCTGTTTTAAAAAAAAAAAAAAAGAGCCGCTTGTGCCACCAGAGGGGCTGCAAAATTCCCATCCTCAGCATCCAAGAGGCACAGAGAAAGGAAGCACAGGTGTGCACCACCCCTGCCAGAGTCTGAACTCAGCAGGAAGCAAGGACAGGGATCACCACCCTGAGCTGGGTGGAGGGGCTGACAGCAAGCCACCTCCCAGCCCTGCAGCCCCCAAGCCCAGGCCACCCCAGCCCCGGGAAGCGCTCACACGGCCACTCCACGTGCGATCCGTCCATCACGGCCTGGTGACGGTGCTTGGGGCACTTTTCACTTTGCGGTTTTAAGTATTTACTGTTTCTTTTGAAATGTTCCAAGTAGTTGCCCAAA